TCAACGTCAAGGCAGCGAGCGCCACGAACAGTAGTATCAGCAGGGTGCACCAGAAAGCCGCTTTCTGTAGCTTTAGGGCTTCTGGTTTCAAGGGCTTAATCCTTTTAAGAGCCTGCAGAGACATGCAGCCATTCAGCCCTGCTTCTACTAAGATGTTGGACGGGGGATGGTGACACCTCAGCCCAGGTTCAGAGACAAACCTGAATCCTGGTCTGGCAGGTTCACATATCACCAGCCCAAAGACTAAAATAACCCCTGCTGGCCTAGGGCCTTACAGAGATGAGCAGAGTGCCAGTGATGAGGTCCCCTCATGATGGGACAGTTTGGTACAGTCGGGGTTTGTCTTTGGGAAAGGAGAAAGAAAAAAAAAAAAACTAGCTCACTATTCTGCATGCTGGACTCCCTGTGAAGTGCTTCTGAAGACAGCAAGACCAGATGCGTGCTCTTCCCCTGGCTTTTAGGTGTCTCCTAGGTACATGTTGCGCCTGGCCCAAGCCCTGTTTTACATAAGTTGGGAATGGCTGGAAATAGGTTTAACGCTCACTTTTTTCCAGCAACCCCAAATTCAGAAAGCTCGTTGGTTTTTCTGTCATGCACTTTACCAGAAAAGCTATTGCATCTACCTTTTTTTTTTTTTTTTTTATGATGGCTACTGATGAGCAGATCACAGCTACTGAACTTGTCACTTGTGATGGAAAGGAGCATCCTGGCCACAAATGACTCATCAGTGCTAGTGCTTTGCACGTCCATATCACAGTTCCTATCCCACAGGAACATGTTGCTGGCATCAAAACCCATGGCTTCTCCAGCATCACCGGGTCCCTGCCAGCTGCAGGATGGCTAATGCCCCACTAGCCTTGTTAGCATCTTTCTCACTCCATCTCCTTGCCATTCACAGTTCTGCGTCTGCTCCTGGGAGAGGAAACCACAAATACCAATGCACCTACACAACCCAGCAGCACAAAAGACAACACGGGGGACAGAACAGGACTATAGAATCAGTGAGTCCTAGGTGCACTTTCTCCCAAAACAGCCCCAGGCTGGGCTGTTCTCCCCAGTGACATGCTCTCTCCCCAGTGCCCTCTTCTTCGCCCTCCAGATTCCCACCCTCACTGCCTTGTCTGGAGCACTGAGATCCCTGTCCCAGAGGCCCCTTGCTCCTCCCTAGCTCCAAATCCCCCAGCACTGACCCTCTCATCTCTCCTGTCTTGAAACCTTCCTCCTTCCATTCACAGCCTCTCTCCTTCCTGCTCAGCTCCGAGATTTTTATCGCCCTGCTTTGGCCTCCTCCCGCTCATAGCCCTGCATACTACTGCCGCCACCACCAGCTTTTCAGCCCTAACCCCTCTCTAAGCCTGGCTCAACTCCCCTGGCCCAGCATGTGCTGGCTGCCCTGCCTGGCTGAGCCAGCCACTGTTTGTCTGGATCCCCCTGCAGAACCTCCTGCCATGGCAGAAATTTGAAAGACGTAGACAGATCAAGAACAGCGCAGCTCCCAGGATGAGCTTCAGAGGGAAGACGGAGACCTGAATATGGCTGTTCCCGCTCAGGACAGGCAGACTTTTAGACCCTTTTGCAAGGGACAGCTTTTCCTGGCCAGCTTCACCTGTCCGCCATATGCAGCCTCACTCCCCTGCACAGATGAGCCAGCTTCTTTTCAGCCTTTACCCTGTCCAAATCCTCCACTAGCAACTCAGCACCAACTCTTCTTACCCGGTCCTGCCTGTCCTAGGCAAAGGGGACAGCCAACGATGTGATGCAAAATCCTCAAGGCAGAAGCACTGCTATGCACATAAGGGAACAGAGCATTTGGGCTGGCACCCTGGGACCAAACAGTCATGACTTCAGTTAAAACTATAGCTTTCACACAAGAAGCAAGCACTGGATGGGAAAATGTCCTTCACGTCCCTGCTCCTCCTGCCACTCCACCTGCCTCAGGCAAAGGCCATGCTCCAGCGCTGCATCCAGAGACCACCAGCACAGCTTCCCTTCAGCTCGAGGGTCTTAGCGCCTGCTGCTCTTTTCTTGCATGCAGAAGAACCCTTGAGCTCTAACCACGGCCAAAGAGCTTCTGAGCTCAGGACAGCTGAAAAGAAAAGGCTTCATTAAAATCAAAGCTTGCTCTGTTCCCTGAAGGACACGAAATCAAGCAAAATGAAACCTTTGCAATTGTTAAAAGGCACAAGTAAGCGCCAGCGAAACAAGATTTGACTCAGTAGGTTAGTGACTGCTTTCTATAAACTGCACATTAAAGCCAGGCTAAAGTCAGGTCATTTAATTGGCAAGGGAGTTGTTACCCAAGCACAATTTGCCCAATGCCTCGCAGCTTTTCTGCCCCTTCTCCCCTTTACTGCTCTTCAAATGCTGAATAAACAAATAGCAGGACTTTGACTTCATGCCTTGCCCTTCCCTGGTCTCTTCCCCAAGAGGACAGTGACAAACTGACTCGCACGAACGCTCAGGCTCTTTCACACGGGCAGTTATCCCGGAGCCACTCAGCCAGCCTCAGGGGCCCTGGCTCATTCCTGTGGCTCAGGCCTCGCTGGCAGAAGTGGCCCCTGCAGGAGGGTGGTGGCTCTGGGGTGCCAGCAGACACAGTCTCTGCAGATAGCTGAAGGCTCCCTCCCTTTACTGGCTGAGCTGCCTGGAGAGACTGACCTCTCTAACTCAGCTTGCTCCAGCGAGCAGTCATGGGTTGGCAGCAGCAAGCTAGAAAGAGCAGATCCAGAAGGTGATGTCTGTCCCTAGGGAGGGCCCTGGCCCTGCCCCGTACTATGCAGGGGAAGAAGACTTCAGCCTGCTGTGGCAGCTCTGCCGAGAGCACCACGAAAGGCTTTCACAGAATCACAGAATCGTTTAGGTTGGAAGGGACCTCTGGAGATCATCTAGTCCAACCTCCCTGCTCAAGCAGCGTCCTCTAGAGCATATTGCCCAGGATCACGTCCAGACGGGTTTTGAATATCTCCAGCGAAGGAGACTCCACTACCTCTCTGGGCAACCTGTTCCAATGCTCTGTCACCCTCACAGTGAAGAAGTTTTTTCTCAGGTTTAGGTGGAACTTCCTGTGGTTCAGTTTCTGCCCGTTGCTTCTTGTCCTGTTGCTGGGCACCACGGAGAAGAGACTGGCCTCATCCTCTCGACATTCCCCCTTCAGATACTTGTACACGTTGATCAGATCGCCTCTCAGTCTTCTCTTCTCCAGACTGAACAGGCCCAGCTCTCACAGTCTTTCTTCATAGGAGAGATGCTCCAGAATACCGTTATTTCCACCAGGACTTCCTGCTCTCCTGCAGCATGGCTACAATTGCATCTCTGAGCACGCAAGTGACAGAGAGCTCAACTGGTCCTTGAAGCAATCCAGGATGCAGGCAGAAGCCACAACCAGCTGGGGTGGGGAAACACCACAAGGCTTCACCCCTTCTGCTCTCGGGCGGAAGGCCCTGCTGTGAACCTAGGGTACCCGCTCTGCCATCACCTGCCAGGTCCATGAGCAGGCTCATGTTCCCACAGAAGAGCAAGGCAGCATTATCCAAACCAGAGAGCCCAGCGTGGCACAGCCCTGGCCCTGCTCCAGGCTGCTCACAGCCCTGGTGACGTGAGCCCCAAGTTCAGTTCTCAGGGCGTGATCAAGTTGTACCCCTGCTGCTCACCTGGACAAGGTGGTTAATGAGACTGCCCAGGGGGACCCAATGCTGTCTGTCCACTCGCGACATACCTGCATACCTGTGTGCTCGCCTTGTTTCCCAGCTCACCACACACTGTTTCTCCTCTAGCTATGCAGGTGAAGCTGTGCGAAGACCAAGGACATCCTTCTTACAGGCACAGAAAGGAGGATGAGGTCCGTCCACCTCGCCTCACCCAGGACAGACAAGGGCTGCATCCACCACGGCAACGACAAACCGCTCCTCAGTCCTGCCTCCCTCGTGTGCCAGCTGCAAAGGAGGAAAGCAAAAGGCAGGCAAAGGAAGGACATTCACTGCCGAGCCCTGCCAAGAGACTGGCACAGAAGCTCCAGCCCTCTCCTGTGGCTAACGGGAGCTAGCGCACTCCTTGGCAAGCGCAGCAGGCTGGCTCCTGCCTTCCAGGATCACTGCTGCGACATGAAAATGCAAAAAGGGCTGTACCTACCCAGGGCTTTGCAACCGAACGTGTTTGCACTGCTGCCAACAGCTGTCTCCCAGGGAGTTATGCCATTGGAGAAAGGAGCCATTGCAAAGGCAGATAAACAGCCATGGGCAAACACAGCCCTTTGTGGCTCCTCTCTCACTCCTCCAAAAGCAACGTGACATTTCCGGCGCCCTTATCTACGACTGCTAGTTCAGACACACCTGCAGGAGAGCCGGAAGGAACAATGGGAACAGCCCAGCTCCAGTGCCCTTTGCTGTGCTCCAGACCCCGGGGCAGCCGTCTGCTTCCGGCGGGACCAGCACCAGACTCCTCTGCAGGAGGAAGGAGAGCACGTAAAAACCACCTGGGGACTCCAATGCTGGGACAGGCCAGCCACCAACTCACACCTCCCATCCTCCAGGAGTGCGGTGGTGAGCAGGTGGGGTGAGGAAGCCTCAGAGGGAACCGCAACACAAATGGGGTTTCGGACACTTGCGGACTCCATTCCTAGCAAGAACCAGGTACCTGACACATCGGAGAACCTGGTCCTGGTGCTCTCCAAAGAGGTGATGGCGTTCTGGCATTCAGATGCTCCTGGACAAACAAGCAGATGTGTTTCCAAGCAGTCACCTTCACAGACTGTTATAAGCCTGCTGTTAACAAGTGCCTTGCATGGCTGCACAGAGCCTGCTGGCCCGGCAGACGAACAAATCAATTAACCATTTCAGTTGTTTCATGGGAGTTACTGATGATGCCTCAGTAGCCCAAATTAGATACATTTAATCCCAGAATAAGCACATGCAAGCCCATTTAACCCCCAAGTGTTTGAGGGAGTTGGCAGCTCCCAACCTGGAAAAGCTGTGAGCATCGCCGGGTCTGGGCAGGAGAGAAACGTCCCTTTAGAGGTCACTTCTGAGTCTGCCACAGGGCTTGACCCTCCAACTCAGCAGTGCTAAAACACCTACCACCACTCCCCCAGGAATCCAAGCAAGGCTCTTGCGTGGCAGAGCCAGCAAGGCCGGCAGAGGCTCGTGTTTTGCCTCTGAGAAATGTGGGAAAAGGAGCCTGTACTCCCAAGCACAGAGGAGAGAGTGGGCATCTGCCAGAGCCTGGAGGGGATCTGACCTCCTGAAGCTCCCTGTACTTAGCTGAATCACAGACAAAAGACAGTTTCGCAGCTCTAGAGCTCAGTATCATGGAAGGTTTATTAAAATTCAAGGAGGGTGTAAAAAATATAGTTATAAAGTCATTAAAACAGTCCTCCGAGCCACACTGGCCCTGCCAGGCCTGGGTGAGTTTACTCCTATGGAGTTTACTCCTGCAGCACTGGAGCCTTTTTCACTTTCCTTTTCTTCTTGGCTTTGCCCTGTTTCTGTTGGGTCTCCTGGTTGACGTTCGCCTTGGCTTTCTTAGCAGCTGGAACCTGCTCAGCTTCATTACCTGCATCACTTTTCCTTTTTCTGTTCCTCTTCTTCCTCTTTTTCTTGTCAGCCACAGCATCTTCTCCATTAACACCTTTCTCCCCTCTGCCTGCCAATTTGTGTTTCTTGTGTTTCCTGCTACTGGGCACAAGGCCTTTCTTCTGCACAGGGGAGTCTATTCCCTCGGGCTGTTCTTCTGGGGCTGCTGTGGCTCCACCTTCACTAGCGACTGGTGCTATCCCATTCTCCTGGACGTGTTTCTTGCGATTCTTGCGTTTCTTGCTCTCTGGCAGGAAACCTTTCTTCTTCCGCTTGAGTGGCTCTGCTCCCTGGGCAGGCTTATTGGCAACTGCTGTCTTCTCTTTCTTGGGTTTCCTGCAGAAAGAATGCCAAAAATCAAGAGCAACTCAGTTCACAGCCAGGGAGCAGTGGGATCTACACTACAGGCAGGCCACAAACAGGCAGAAGCACAAGAACATTGCAGGAGGCACAGGCATGCTGCAAGGATGAGCACTACCCCTGGAGATGGTCCTCACTCTGCACATGGGGCTGGCTCACTGAACTGCAAGAAGCTGGACCAGGATGCAAGGAGGCACTAAGGCTTGAGAAGGAACCGCCTTTCTACTGACCAGATAATGCTGTACTTACCGCCTTCTCAAGCACTCTCGCCTTCGGGTCTGCACAAGGCTATCAAGGTGCTGTCTGTCCAGGATGAGAGCCCCAGCAAGGCCTCCACTGCACTACTAAATCTTTCCAGCAAAACCCCCTCACGGACTACGTTAAGCTCATCTGGGCAGCTTCTGTTCACCTGCAAGAGTGGCCGCCTCTGCTCTCTTCTCTGGCAGAGTTAGTCGATTGCTTTGCTACCACCCAGTCTACATCGCTCTGTACCAGCTCAGTCCCCAAAAGAGAAATCCTGAAAAGGAACCTGGCTGTAATGCCATGGCCCAATTTTTTTTTTATGTGAAGCTTTTCTGGATAATTTTCCCAAGGTGGAAAAGAGCTGTCTCAGCAATCTGACGTTAACACCTGCCTCTCGGCACCTCTGCCAGGGTCCAGGCCACAAACCCCATCTGCCATAGGCTTGTTTCAACTCACCTGCACAGAGATCTCTGGGCATCAAAGCAAGCTGGCGCCAACAGTGACAGCAGGCTACACCTCCGAAGCCCAATCCGTTCCCCACACAGCATGCATAACCCCGGTATTTCCTACCGAATCCTTAGCAACCCCCCTCCTTTCCAGCAGCAGTCTCTGCTCACTGCTAAAACAGGCCCTGTCCTTGGGCCAAACATGGCAGTAGAGGGCCAAGGGACCGGCCTGAGACTGGGAAAGGGAGAAAGGACAGACCAGGTGCTATGGGGCTGCCTCACAGGGCTGGGTGAGGCCAGCATGCTCTGCTACCCTGTTCAAGGCATTAAGAGGGGGCACAACAGTTTCAGCTGCCATATATGATTCCTCCCTGCCTGCGAGTCCTTTCACAGTGAGCTGCGTGCAAGCGTTTTCCCTAGAGCCTCCTGCGGGGCTAAGATACTGCAAACCAGGCCACCCCCACACTGAAACCAGGGCCGCAGCTCCCCGTCATTAGCCAAGCGCCCAGCACTTCTGTAAGGCTGTGCGCATTGTGAAGTGCTGCCACCAGGCACAGGAAACAAAAGATCTGTTTGCAAATCACTGATAGAAAGAAGAAGAAGATCCTGTGCTTTTCCCTTGGAGCAAAAGTCAAATCCAGTCGGCATTTAATGCAGGGGTAATAAGCATGAAGATTGAATGCTCTTCAGCTTTTGGAACTGCGAGGCACCCATTCCAAACATCAAGCTGGGCATCCAGGCACTAAGGAGAGCCCAAAAACCACTGAAGGGGAGTGAAGCATGTAATCTCTGGTATTC